TTCCCTTTATGGCTGATTGGCATCTTGTTTCCCCACCATGGAGTGAGATCCAAGCTGGCCAGCTTGAACAATAAAGAGAAACCTTTGCATTTGCAGAACTGTCTGGCTCCTTGGGTTGGTTTAGGGCTCTTCGAACCTGGCACAACAAATGGACTTTGGGTAGACCTGGCCTGAATTACCTCCCCTGGCTCTCACCTAGGAGCCCTGTGGGGCAAAGACAAATATGGATCTTATTTCTTCACAGAAACCTCTCTGGACTGAGGGGTAGGTTTGAGTTTGCCAAGGTCTTTGGGAATCAGGACTGACCAGGAAGCAGAAAGGAGACAAAGAGAAGACTTAGAAATTACGGTTAAGAAAGAAGATTTAAAAGGAATCAGTCAAACAAGCAACCCCCAGGGGCTTAAAGTCTTTAAACTGTATACTATCCAGGCACAAGTCAATAACCACCGAACAGGGCTTAGTGCTGAAAGACAAATAAATCATCTGCAGACATCACATGTCACCTCCTAACTGGAACCAGTCCATCTTTCCTTCCTTTGTCAAATCACTACAATGGTTGACAGGATCTAGGAAACAAGCCCCTGGGTATGCTTGTGAGGGATTGCCTATGCTATGTTAATCTGATTCCTGGACTGAATAAAAGGAGAGAGTTGAACATCAGCACAGGCTTCACCTGCTCCCTCCCTGACTGTGGACACCATGTGACCAGCTGCCTCAAGCACTTTCCATCTTGTCTTCTCTGTCCCTTGAACCCAGAACCAAAATAAACTGGTTTCTTTTTTCCTTAATTTGCATTTGTCAGTGTATTTATTATAGCAAATAGGCCATAATTAACACAGTAACCTTTGTTAAAACCAACGAATGTAAAACAAATAAACAAACAAAAATAAAAAACAAAAACCAACCTACATAAACTTGTTATATATGTCCTCTGGATTTAGAATAAGTTTTATGCCCACCAAGAAACTCCTGGAAAGGTGGGTGACTTTGAGAAACTAGGTTTCCCTCTGAGTGTGAACTTTTGGTCTGTCATAAAACTTTCTCCTTATTCCTTATTTTATCTACTTTATCTCCTCTCAGTTTTCACTCCAAGGGTGACAAGGTCCTGGAAACCCTGGATAGATCTCTCTATATCTACCTCTAAGACCACCCCAACCTTTATCACCTGCAACATTTTGGCTTCTTGTTACTTACAGTTTAACTACATATTTGTTCTAGACTTGACTTGATGCCTCCCTTTCCCACTAGATACATAAGCTCCAATACTAGATGCCTCTGAACACCAATAGACACAATTATCAAAATGTACCTACAAGATGTACCCACCTAGAAAGTAGGGGCCTGACATGTAACACTAAACAGTGTTTGTAGAAGCTAAATCTAGTGGCTTGGGCCTATAAACCTAACTTTTCTGAAAGCTGAGGCAGGAGGATAGAAAGTTCAAGCCAGTTTGGATTATAGAGTGAGGTTTAGGCTGTATGGGTAACAGGAGACTTTGTTTTTAAAAAAGTAAAAATAAAGAGGGCTGGTGATGTAGCTTATTGGCAGCACTCTATTTTGTTTTTGTTTTTAGAGACAGGGCTTCTCTGTGTAGTCCTGGCTGTCCTGGAACTTGCTCTGTAGAACAAGCTGGCCTCAGACTCAGAGAGATCAGCCCGCCTCCACCTCCTGAGTGCCAGAATTCAAGACCGCACCACTCCGTGCCACAGTGCCCAGCGCTCATTAGTAGCACTCTTGCCTAACATGAGCTAGGGCCCAGTTTTCCTAGTACTAAAAACAAAAGTTTGTGGATGTTTAAGGATAAAGAGATAGATCAAGGGCAGGGTAGATGGCCCAGTGGGTGTAGGTACTTGTTACTAGGCTTAATAACCCGAGTTTGATCCCCAGAACCCATACAGTGAAAAGAAAGAACTGACTCCAACCATATGTCCTCTGACTTCCACATGTGGGCTGTCTCACAGAATCAGTCAATGTGGAGAAAAAGAAAGATGATCAACAGTTGCCAGGGTCAGAGGTCAGGAGCAGGTAAATGGACCCAAGGAACAAATCTGAATGTTAAAAATTGGATTGTAGTGATGCTTGTTGTGAACTTAAGTTCCCAGAAAAAAAGTCACGTGGTTGTTAAATATTCTACAAGGCCAATTGGCTGAATGTAAAGAGCTGGAATGTTGCAGGTCCAGATATCTTGGCTATCTTATCTCCTTCACAGGCATTTGTTGTACATCCCAATGTGTGGCCCCATATCCTTGGGACTATTAAGTAAGTCTTCTTAGAATGCTCTCACTCCTAACTTTCCCTAACCCAAAGGTAAGAATGCCATCAGATAACATCTGAGGTCTAGAGACAGGGATTTCTTGGCTTTGCTACAACCTGCCTGCCTGGTGTTCCCAGTGTATTTGAAAAGTGTGGGAGATTTTTCTTGTTTTGCTACTATTAAGATTTCACAAACTGTTGCTGTAGTGGATGTTGTATGTGTGTGTGTGGGTGTTTTTCAACTCTTGTCTTCTTGAAGTAATGAATTCAGTCAAGAGATATAGACATTTTGACTAGATGTTTACTTAACAAAGCTGTAGTTTGGTCAGTAAAGCCAAGTAGAGAATTCCCTAGAGAGTGGGAGCTGGGGGCAGCGGCTCAGTAGGTAAAGCAAGTGCTCCAAAGGAGACTGGAATGCACTTCCCTTGCCCAAGGAGCTTCATAATGTGTTATGTATTGTGGATTTTAAAGAAGTTGTTATGAATACCTATGAGTTAAGTAGCATATTCATGAGGTAAGGTGACAATTTTTCCATCTCAAATCATGAGCAGGATCTTCTTCCTTTTTGCATATTTCTTTCCATGATGTCAACAAATGGGAGGAGGTATCAACCCCATAATATAAATGATATTCTAATGATGTCACATTTTTTAAAGATGCAAACCCTTGGATCATGTATACTTGTAGGAACATGTCGCGGTGCCTCAAGTTTCCAATATAGTGGAAACAACTGAACTGCTGTTCCAAGGATGTTTCCTGACAGCAGAGCATTCCGATTGTCAGCAGGCATGGTTACCAAGAGGTACCTGCAATTTTCCTTCGCCATCTCCTATTTAGATATGCCTATAGGGGTGCCTAAAACTTTAAAAAAAAGTTTTATTTTCATTTATGTGCTCTTGTCTCTGTGAATATATGCTACACATATGTTGATGCCTAGGGAAGCCAGAAGAACATGTAACTCTCCAGAGCTGGAGTTCTGGGGAATGACAAGCCTTTTTCATATGTTTGTTTGTTTGAGACAGGGTTTCTCTGTGTAGCTTTGGAGGGTGTCCTGGAACTCACTCTGCAGACCAAGCTGGCCTCACGAAGATCTGCCTGTCTCTGCCTCCCAAGTGCACAAGCCTTGTTGATTGGGTACTGAGACCAGAACTGCTGTCTTCTGGAGGAGCAAAAAGTGCTCTTAAACTCTTCACTGCTGAGCCAACTCCTTTCTGCAGAAGCTGTTCTTACTTAGTTTGGTCAGTTTTATGGGTGCCAGTTAGACCCTGCTAAGATAGAGACCAACTCTTGTCTGGCTAACTTGGCTCTCTCATACCCAGTAGTTTTTGTTTTTCCAACTAGGGTTTCTCTGTGTAGCCCTGCCTGTCCTGAAACTCATTTTTTTGACCAGGCTGGCCTGCAACTCAGATCTAATTGCCTCTGCTTCCTGAGTGCTGAGTGAAAGGCGTGCACCACTATGCCCAACTTGCAAATTCTTATTTACCTTCATCAGAATTCCTGTCCTCAACATTCTAACTTTAACTTCCAACTGCTTTTAAAACTCATTCATTTAACTCACACATTGGTTTTGTTGTTGTTGCTGTTTTTTATCATGTTGGAACAAGGTATTTGGGGTCACCTAAACCTGTACTTCCTGGCCTTAGTTACTTATATTTGGCTTGAATAAACCCTCTTAATCGCATTAAGGTAATAGCTGTGTGTGTGTATATGGTTCTTGGCAGGTATACTTACCTCAGTTTTTGAGTCAGGGTCTCTCACTGAACCTGGGACTCATCGTTTCAGCTAGACTGGCTGGCAAGTGGGGGCGGGGATCCACCTAGCTCTAATTTTTCCACTGCTAGGGTTATAGATGTTCAGCCTCGTACCTGGCTCTTTACATGGATGCCAGGGAATGAATTCAGGTCCTCATGATTTTGAAACAAGCTCCTAACCCACTGGGTTGTCTCCCCAGCCCAAGAGAGCTGTGTTTTCTGAATTGACTTTAGGCAAGTTTCACTTACTAAAAAATTTCAAACTGTACATTTACAAGGAGTACTTTAAAAATATTTATTTATTTTATGTATATGAGTGTTTTGTCTGCATTTAGGTGTGCTCACCATTGGTACCTGGTGCCCTGGGAGGCCAAGAGAGGGTGCTGGATCCCCTAAACCTGGAATTACAGATGGTTGTGAGCCACCATCTGGGTTCTGGGAACCGAACCTCAGTCCTTTGAAAGAAAAACAAATGCTCTTAATCTCTTAACAACAGTAAGTTCCTTTTATATTTAAACTATATTTCAGTAAAGCTATTAAAAAATAAAAAAAATCAAGTTAGCATGGTGGAGCATGCTTTTAGTCCTGCACTTGGGAAATAGAGGCAAGGAAAGAGGATCAGGAGTTCAAACCCACACTCTGGTACATAGTGAGTTTGAGGCTCCATGAGACTGTCCCTAAGAAACGAAACGAAACAATATTTGGGGAGTAAGTAAAATATCTGTCTCAGTGGGACTGCAAAGTCCTAAGGGGCCCATTATCCCCCAAATATAGAAGGCTCATTGGCCCCTAATAGGTGGGAAACAAACACATCATCCATAAGGCTACTCAATGAATGAAGCAAGGGAGGGGGGGCTTCCGGATCGCAGCTGGGTCCGCTTCCCGCGTCATGGAAAGATTAAGGCAGTGATTGGCCAGCTAGTGGCAGCTGTGCAGAGAAGGGTCGGGGCTGTCGGGAAGAGACACGAAGATCCGTGCTAGGGGCGGGGCCGCGCGGGGCCTCGGGGCGGGGCCGTGCGGGGCGGGCTTCGGGGGCGCCGGCTACGCGCATGCGTCCTGGTGTTGCCGCTGTCGCCGCGGTGAGGGAAGTGGACGCGATGGCCGGGTCCGCGTGGGTGTCCAAGGTGAGCGCCACAGGGCAGCAAGCTCGCGGGCGAGAGTGGGAGGGCAGACTGTGATCCCTCGTCATGCCTGGCCGAGGCGAGCGCGGGGGCCCGGTGGAGGCGGCGCACGGCCCGCGGGGAGAGTTTCGGGGAGTGTGGCCAGCACGGCGAGCATGCTAGCCCTGAGCCGGGACAGCCGCGCCCTCGGTGGGGACGGCGTCAAGGTCAAGGCGGCCGGCTCTGCCCCGGGTGTCCCTACCAGCCTCCTCCGGGACTGGAGCACAGGCCTCGTACTAGCCCCGGAAGGTCTTGGAGTGGCCGCCCAGGCCCTATTACCTGCAGGTCTCAGGGCAGCCTGAACACGGCCCTGCTCGCCCCTCCCGGGTCCCTTAGCCTTTGACCGGCTAAACTACGGGAGCAAGAGGTTTTCCCAGGTGAGGGAATCCCCAGGCGGGCCTGCCGGCCAGATTTTTCTCCCTCTTGGAACTCTTCCTAGACTGATGCCTGGTGCCCCGGTAGCTTTTTCCCCTTCAGAGGACACAGGGCATCGTGCTCCTTGGGATTACACTCTGAACACTCAGACAGGGAGAGTGCAGCATCGTCCTTCTTCTGCTGTGGTTGGAAACGCTGTGATCCGGTGCTCCACCTCTCTTTGATACCCTAGGTACCAGAGCTGAAAGGCACTTGAGGTTACATGTGCAATCTTTTGGCTTCCCGGTGGAGCTGACCTGTCTGTCCCCAAGACAAACTTACCCAAGGTCACACAGGATGCCATTGTCATCTGGGAGAGGAACCCAAGTATTTTGATTTTTCAGTTCCTTTGTGCCTGTCCAGTGGCCAAGGTCACTTAGCTAATTGTGGATATAGTACTTACCAGGCCTTACTGATGCTATAATGAGTGAGTGGTTCCCTATAAATCTGCTGTAAGCAGTGCAAATTTTTTAAAGATAAAATTTGATATTGTTCCTATCCCCTTTCCCCGAGTTTAAAGATAGGTTCAGAGATAAACTATTATTTACTGATAATTCAATTTAGGGGTCTTAGTTTTAAACCCTGACTGCCACTGACTAGGTTTGTGCCCTAAGCAAATCACTTACTATCAGTGAACCCACCTGTAAGATGTCTACTTGTGTCATAGAGTTATTGGTGCATGAAAGCACCTAGCCCATGCAGGACATGAAAACCTGAAGCTTTCTTAGCTATCAATATATCTTGTCAATTGACAAGCAGATGGTGGTTCTTGGACATCAGTAACTAAGCTTTTTTACACAATAGCTAGAGTCTACTTTGTCACTTTCTTCAGAACCACATTTGCTTGAGATGTTATTAGGTCACATTTTACTTTTAAAATGTAGCAACATGTCTGTCCTTTAATGTCTGGGTTTACACTCTCCATGGGAAGAATAAATAAAGCTATACTAGTGAAGAGTGTGCTGGGAAATTGGTTTTGCCTTTAGCTCTGTAAAAAAACTCATAAGAGATCAGAAATTATTGGCTGTTGGGTCAGAAGATGTTCCCTTGGGACATGATTGTCTGTATGACCTTTGGCAGAATGGCCCAGCTTTTGGGTCAGTCTCTCTCTAGGGATTAGGGCCTCAGTGAAGTGCTACATGGCATTCGGGGTTTCCATCAGGACAGCCACTTTCCTTTTTGAGTGTTTTGTTTTTTTCTCAACCAGTCTAGCTGTTGAGGCTGTAGCTAAGGCTGACCTTGAACTCCTGATCCTCTATCTCCCAAGTAGATTATAGGTGTGAGCTACCACAGCCAGTTTCTATTTAAGGTTTTATTTATTTACTTATTCCCAAGACAGGGTTTTTCTGTAGCTTTGGAGCCTGTCCTGGAACTAGCTCTTGTAGACCAGGATGGCCTTGAACTCACAGAGATCCGCCTTCCTCTGCCTCCCGAGTGCTAGGATCTAAGGGGTGCGCTACCGCTGTCTGGTTTGTTTTCTTTTTTTCCCTTTGACTAGAAAATGAGGGTTTTAAAGACCTTTCAGGCTCCAAAGACTGTGATGAGCCAGTTTATCACCCTACTTCCCACTCAGTATCTCTTGTTTTTAGGTTGGAATATGAAGGTAAAGAGGAAAATCAGAGCCATGGGGTCCAAATGATCCAGGGCCTGAAATCAAGTTCAGGAAGCCAAGGCTAGGCTCTTTCCCTTCAAAACTCATCTCCTTAGGTTTTACAGAGGAATATGACACACGTGTATTATAAAAGGCATTGTGTGTGCCAAGATTTATGTAAAGTTGTATTTGAATGGACTTTGTCAATGTGTTATTTTGTTGGAGATCATAGAGGAGAGATGGAAACACGGGAAATAGGGTTGTTGGAAGAAAGTCCTTAAAGGCATGGAAGTTGGGATGGTGACCCTCAGTCACACTTAGGGTTGAGAGCAGCCTGGAGTGTTTTAGAAGGTATTTATTGAGTATCAACTATGAGGAAGTGTACCAGGCACTGTAGATACAGTAGCAAAGAATAAGAGGGCCTGCATATCTTAGGATATTTGTGTGTTGCTGTGGTGTTGGGGGTTGAGCTTGGTACCAGGGAGGCACTCTATCACTGAGCTGCAAACCTCCCTCCATTTTTAATTCTAAAGTCAGGTCTCAATAAATTACCCAGGCTGTTCTTAAACTCACTCTGTAGCCCAGCACAGGATGGCAGGCCTTGGACTTCAAATCCTTCTGAGTACCTGGGCTTACAAGCCCCAGCCATGAGGCCTGGGAAAAATAAGACAGGGTGTAACAAATGTCTCTTTGCTCATGTATATAACATGAAAAGATTACATTTACTTATTTATTTTAGTAGATTTGAGTGCCTTTGGTCTGTGTAGTCAATTACTTGTTCTTATTGTAATAAGACTTTGTACCATTTCTGAAGACTGAGCTATTACATTTGAGAGCTTTTTCTTTGAGGTCTCACTATGAAGGCTAGCACACACTATGTAGACCAGGCTAACCTCCAAACTCAAGAAGTCCACCTAACTCTGCTTTCTGGAGGGCTAGGATTAAAGCTGTATGCCATGACACTTGGCTAGAGTTTGAAGTACCTTTTAAAACATGTATATATGCTATTGGTTATCCGAAAAATATGTAGTAATAGTATTGTCTTAGAGTGGTAGGCTTGTTGAGTAACTTGTAATTTTTATTTTCCTTTTTTATATCTTTTTATAGTCTCAGAAAAACTAATAACACATAAAACATCACAAGTAAAAGTAATAACTATTGCCTTACTACTAGAAGGACTAAGTAATTAAAATATTCTGTGTGGTATTGATATCAAGTAGTGTTATGTAAACTGTTACTAATATTCTCAAAAGAGTTGGTATGTGACTGACCTTTTTTTTTTTTTGCCTCCTTTTGGCAGAACTGAGGCTGGTACATGCTAGACAGGTGGTCTGCCTCTGAACTACGACCCCAACTCTGCTTATTTTTTGACATAGGGTCTTGCTGAGTTGTTTTTGCTGGTCTTAAGGGGTACTGGTAGTCCAGACAGGCTTTGAGCTTGGAACCTCCTGCCTCAGTTTACTGAGTAGTTGGAATCACAAATCTGTTCTACCAGGCCAGGCAAGATTGTTCCTAATTTGCTGTTTGGATGTTTGGAAGATGACTTGGATGCTCTTCCAGAGGATCCCGGTTCAATTTCACAACCATCTGTAACTAGCTCCAGAAGAACTAACTCCCTTTCTGGGCTCCCTGATCACCAGACACACATATACATAAAATTCCATAATAATAATTTTAAAGAGAACTCAGTAATTGCTGATTGGTCACTTGGATCTTCAACAAATCCCTGATCTTTGTCCCTCTATCTACAGAGTTAGTTTGGAGAGGAATCCTCCTCTGGGAGTCCTTAAGAGTATGGACCCCGCTGGCTTTAAATCTGGTGAAAATTTTCTTAGAGCATGTGGCATCCTATGGTGGTCAAGAGCATTAATAAAACTAAACAAGAACATTAGAGAAAAACCAAGGTTTGAGGCAAAAAAAAAAAAAAAGCATAGAGTATAGTTGCATTCCGTCTTCAAAATCTTTTGACAATTTAACTTATAAACTAGGACTTCAAAAAAGTTCAATGCTGAGGTGTTGGATGTTGGTCCAGTCTGTTAGGTGGTTGTCCAGCAAGCATGAGGACCGAGTTCAGATTTCCTGCACCTACATTTAAAAATGCTGGGCCGTGACATGCCATGTTTTGTTGATATTCATGGAAGAGCTGCCCTTTCCTAAACAGACACGGAGGAGTAGGTTGGAGGGAGTGACATTGGAGGGGTGAACTAGGGGGAGAAGAGAGAGGGGGAGCTGCAGCCAGAATGTAAAATAATAAATGCATTTTATAAAAAGAGGCTGGGTGGTGGCACATGACTGCAATCCCAGCATCAAGGGGGCTGACACAGGAGGATCCTTGGATCTTGCTGGCCCAGTCTTCCTGGATTGGTAAGCTATGTGTTTAGTGATCTCACTCTTCTCAAAAACTAAGAGGAGAGGACACTTGGTGTAGGCCTCTGACTTTCACATGCATGTATACATGGGCATATTCATAATCACATTCATGCACACATGTGCATATACATACTAATATACCACACATGCACACACGAACCCCTCAGAAAAAGAAAAGGTACAGAACTTCAATCATATGGTTTCAAGTCAGCCACATTGAGCTAATAATATTTGAGAAAAATATTCCTGGAAAATCTCCCAAGTTTAAAAAAAAAAAAAAAAAAAAAAAAAAAGAGACTCAAGTTCTTCCAACTTCTCTGAGAAAAACTATCAGAAATGACTTTGTCTCAAGTGTTTATGTTTTAATTCTGTGCATTACATATCTTTGTTGTGTTAATGTAGGTCTCTCGGCTGCTGGGTGCTTTCCACAATACAAAACAGGTGACAAGAGGTTTTGCTGGTGGTGTGAGTATAATTATGTCTTTTTATTTTTCCTTTTAGAAGTTTCTCAAGAAAGATGCTCAAATACATTTGCTACCATTCCATCCTTATTTATTTAATGCTAAAGGGAATTGGCCATACTTCTAATGTATATTAAAATTATTGGCTGACAATTACACAAATCTGTCCTTTTCCTATGTAAGATAAGTCTTGTTACATCTGGCTATGTAAGCCTGTCCCATTAATATCTCCAAGGAACCTTGATAAAAATAGAAGTTACCCTGAGGATGTTACTTTATTTTGTAATCTCATTAGTGTCTTAACATACTTAGGGGTTTTGTTTTTCAGAAACAAGTACCAAGTTGAGAGGAAATTGTTGAGAAGCTTCACAAACCTGTTTTGCATCCCCCCCCCCCCCCCACAGCTTCCCTAAAACAGTAGATTGGTCATCATCTATGAATGTCTCATGCTTCTCTGGGCCCTACAGACCTACATTTTTCATATGCAGTCTGTAGACTCCAATCTGCTGCTTTTGGAACTCCTGGCTTGAGAGTTCTATGCTTAAACAGCTGATGGCACATTTTTGGAGCATTCCAAGACTGTGTGTCAGTGACTTCCTATTTATTGTTTTTTCCTCTTTTATAGAATCTGATTTGGATTTTATAACCCCTTTATTCCTATTCCCCCACATCACATTTTATGCCTTGAGGAATTGGTGAGACTGTAATACATTTCTCTCTCGATTTGGTGTCTGTACTGGAGAAGAAAAGTAGTCCCAGATGACATTACATGTGGGAAAATAGGAAGAAGGAGCCTTTGGACCTGCTTATGCCAAAAATGCAGATAATGAACTCACAGCAGCTGAGTGCAGGCACAAGACCAGTGCAAGCTCAAACCAGATCGAATCCTAGCATGAAAGTGGGGTTGGGCACACAATTCTACCTCTAGCTGTGGAGTGATTGGTGGTTCTTAGCAGCTGGGAGACAAAGAGTCAGACTTTTCTGATTAGGTTATAGGCCCTGGTCAGATGACCATGCTCCACACCAAGCCCACATCCTAGAATGTTTGAACAATACAAATTGGTCTTGGTGGGTAAAAAAAGAAGGAAAAAGGACACAAAGTTGGATGGGTGGGGAAGGCAGGGGTAGATCTGGCCAGATTTGGGAGGGAGGTGAATATGATCAAAACACATTGTATGGAATTCTCAAAGAACTAATAATAAAATTTTAAAAGTATAAGGCTTTCATTTCAAGCCAAGCCAACGTTTCAAAACCATTCTGAAGCTGAACTTGATGGTACAGGTCTCAGCTGCTCAGGAGGCTGAGGCAGGAGGGTTTTAAAAAAAAAAAATTACAGGACCTGCTAGGCTGCAGAGAGAGTTCAAAGCCAGCTTGGGAAACATAAAAGTGGTCTCAAAATACGAAGTGAGAAGGCTGCTCTGGGGCGGGGCCCTGGCCTAGCATGCACATGGCCCTGAGCCCCATCCTCAACACCAAAGTGAACAGAAGGGAAAAACCCAGTACATCTGGAAGTGGGTGATACGATCATGGTTCTCTGCAGTTATTTAATCTTTGGCTGCCGATTTTTTAAAAATATATTAGCCTGGTTGATGGGGTTATTTTAAAAACTTTATAGGAGGAAATATTAATTTAAAAAAAATTGATTCAGCTGTATATAAAACTTGAGAAATAATAATCAACCTGTCCAGGTGTCATTGTAAGGCAGTGGCCCAGGGAAAGTTGAATTAGTGATTTAAAACATGAATTTATGATTTAAAACATATATAACATTTTCATTAATTCTTTGGGGATTGTCATATGTGTACAGTGTATTTTATCATATTTGTCTCACACTCTTCCCCCTTAATTAGTGATTTTTAAAAATATGTAGTTGAGGGTTGGGCAGTGGTGGTGCACACCTTTAATCCGAGCACTTGGGAGGTAGAATCTCTGTGAGCTTGAGACCAGCTTGGTCTACAGAGCAAGTTCCAGGACAGCTTGGGCCACACAGAGAAACCCTGTCTTGAAAAACCAATAAATGAAAAAAAGGAAAAAAAAAAGTAGTTGAAGCAACTAGACCTGTAAGAGGCCAGGTAGAATGCAGTTCTCAATGAAGGTCTGAATAAGTCTTCAGACCCTCTCATCTTACTTCTGACACACTTCACTCATTGAGGTGCTCACTTACTGTTGTCCAGAGCATTTGGAATTGAGGTACTTGATGTCACACCATAGACACACTCACTGTCATTCTGACTGGGGCCTGTGGGTCTGAAAATGGTATTGGTTGCTGATGGCAACCCATGCTCACACATGAAGGAGCCAGTTTTGTAGAGGATCTAAGGAAAGTGGAAGCCCTCTAGAGATGAAGTCTGATATTGTCCATGGTTAAAACAGATCTCGGAAATTCTGGAAATGTTGGAGTTTTATGAGACTGTTCCCTGAGAACTTCATGGGCATCCACAGACCGTAAAGCCAGGGCTCCTGGGAGGACCCTGAGCTTCGGTAAGAACAATGCTGAAATGTTAGCTCTCTTGGGATCCACAGACTTGAATTGTTAGTCATCGAAAAGAAATACATGTCACGAAGTGTACTCGGTAGTTTATTTTTCTTAAAGAGCATCATTTGTGTAACTATTTAAATTTCCTAACTCAGTTGAGAGTAGAGACATGGAGTATCATGCAGTTGGCTTCTCCTCCGCTGTTGTGACCTCAGTGGGAAGAGGTCTGTCTGTTTCCTTAAAGCATTTGGCTCTTTCTGACATACTGGGAAAGTGAGGTTCTCTGTGAGGGATGCTCTCTTAAAAAATTTCAAAAAAACAATCCATACTGTTTTTTCTTCAATGATTTTTCCTATTCAGGTTCAGACAGTAACTTTAATTCCAGGAGATGGAATTGGCCCAGAAATCTCCGCCTCAGTTATGAAGATTTTTGATGCTGCCAAAGTAAGTGTATTTAAAATCCTCTTAAAGATAATCTACAGAGGCTTTGTTAGCCAAGATGAGTTGTTTTAAGAGTCTACATAGTTGGTAGGGTTGTTGTTAAATAATTGCCGCTGAAGTTACAGATGGTTGTGAGCCATTGTGTGAATATGGGAAGTTAAACCCTGGGTCCTCTACAAGAGCAACAAATGATCTAAGCCCTCAAACCATCTCTCAAGCCCCTACTTAGTTTTGAGACAGAGTCTTGCACCAAGCCTAGATTGGTTTAGGACTCAGTGTGCAGCCTAGGCTGGCCTTGAATTTCCTCTTGCCTTAGCCTCCTGACTACTGGATAATTGTTACTTTGATAATGCATGTTTCAGTGCTGTCTGTTCCTGCTGTTGTGGATAGCTGAAGCTACCACACTGGCATCTGTTATTTATTAGGTAATCAAATAGCACTGTAGTACTTGTGACATTTTAAACTCTGCTTGGGACTAAGGTGTTTAAATCTTGCCCACTCACTTAACCTTATTGCATCTTTCTGTGAAAATGCATCAGAATGTATATAGGTGATTTCGAAAAGCTTTTTCATGTATTATGTTTTGGTGTGTTGGAGATTAAACTTGGCTTTGCACATGCTAAACATGCATCCTTATCGCCCTTAGCTCCTTGAAAGAATTAATTTGTTTCTGTTGCGGTATTGTCATCAAGAATGGGATATTATTATTCCTACAGCATAGCTTTCAATTCAGCCACTGGATCCATCTCAAAACATTGGGTGGGTGGGTGGGGATTTAGGATTGTAACCTGGGTTTTTATTGTTGTTATAATTGTCGAATGTAAGAAATAGAAATGAGTTGAAGAATGGAATTTATTGAAATTATATGAACTCTTTTTTTTTTCCTGTGAGAGTTTCTAATTGAAATTCCTGCAGATGAGCTCATGCTTGTAAACTCCTTAAGAACAAGGTCCATCCTTTTCTGTACTTCTCTGTCTAGTTCTTTGTAGACTGTGTGATGGCTGTCAAATGTCAGTTCTCATATGACAGGTGGAGGAAGAAAGATGGGAGCACTATTTTATGCTTTAATCCAGGACTTCCATAGGTATTTCTTGTTCTTTAGACAGCGTTATTAAGATATACTTCATATAATACCGAAACCACTCATTACAGTGGTACAGTACAGGGCAGGGGAGATGGCTCTGGATAAAGTGCTGTGCAAGTGTGAGGTCCTGAGTTCAGATCCCCAGTACCCACGTAAAGCTGGATGCAGTAGCATGGGTCTGTAATCCCAGTGCTCCTATTGTAAGACAGATAGAGACAGAGTCCCTGGGAGTTTGCAGGTGGAAGGGGAGAACCCGTTGACCTCTCTGACCTCCACATTCATCATGACACTAAAAAACTTTTCACAAATAACTGTATAATCCAGTCCAATGATTTTTAGTATATTCAGAGTTGTGTAGCCACCCACACTAATTTAGAACAATTTTACACCAAAAAAGGTATCCCATAATGCATAGCAGTCAACTGTAAGGGTGCCCCACTCTCAGCCCAGGCCATTTGCTTTCTCTTTATAGATTTGATAACCTATTCATATTAGTAGACTCTTACGTGGTCTTTTATGGTAGAGTTTTTGCTCTTAGTATTGTGTTTTCAAGGCTCATCCATATATCAGTGCTGTGAAATCATGTCCATGAACCTTATATCCTTCTTATGCTAATCTAATTATAGCCACCTTAGGAGTCCTTGTGAAGAAAATAAATGAGCAGGTGGCAGCTGGATGTGATGACTGGGCAAGGGTAATGCAGAGGAGGATGCCTTTGGGCACACTAGTGAATATCACAGCATGTCAGGGGCTTTCAGGACCTGTGGTCCATGGTTTTACTAGTTGCATCCAGCCTTGGTGAACTATCATTGTAATCTGACTGCCAGACTCGTTTAAGTCTGTCCAGTTCACTGTGCTGTTGTGTGGCTTCTAGGCCCCTATTCAATGGGAGGAGCGGAATGTTACGGCCATTCAAGGACCAGGAGGAAAGTGGATGATCCCTCCAGAAGCCAAAGAGTCCATGGATAAGAACAAGATGGGCTTGAAAGGTACAGTAGAGAGGAGGTTTTGGTTGCTCCCAGGCATTCTATTTTGAGAGTGTGTGTGTGTCAGCCAAATCCAGGCTGACAGTCTTTGATAAAGTTTCACTTGTCATAAGGTACTTTATTTATTGAATGTTTTATGTTTGTGAGTCTGGGCCTCACAGTATGGCCCAACGGGCCTAGAACTTGCCTTGTACCCAAGGTTAGGTTTAAACTTGAGATTCTTCATGCCTCAGCCTGCTGGAATTACAGGCACCAAGGCTCTAGATGCTTTCTTTATTTGCTCTACCTGGAATATATTCTTGACCTGAGATGGTTATTTCTTATTTGGGACATTGTTTTAAAATTTTAGTAAAAACATTAAAGTATTGCTGACCAATACCAACTTTACTGTGTCCGTAATTTTCAACTCCATCTACCTCTACTCATATTTTTAATGTTTTTGTTATTTTTTAACTTTATGTGAAGGTGTCAGATTCTCAGGAACTGGAATTACAAACAGTTGTGAACAGTTGTGGGTGCTGGGAATTGAACCCTGGTTCCCTGAAAGAGTAGCAAGTGCTCTTAACCACTGAGCCATTCCTCCAGCTCCTGTTTTTATTACCTTTATACATGCTTAAGGCCATGATTCAGACAGATTGAAATTTGTGCAGGCTTTAAATCCATCTTTTGTAAGCCACTGGCTGGTAAGCTTAGGCCAAGGTCTTTCTCTGGGATTGTTTAGTTTTTTCTTTCATTTGTAAGTATCCTTCCTGGGCAGTGAGGCTTGGCAGATGCTAACTGTCTGATTTAGTGATTGGTCCTCAGAAATTCTCAGACAGGAAATGTAAGTCATGTCTCAGAACCCTCCCTAGAAGGTGTGTTCCTCCTATTGGGTCTGAGGGAGAGGGTGAAGTTGAAGGCAGAACACATTTTATAGGAGCCAGCTGGGTTAATGGGTTCCCTGTGAGACCAAGTGTAGTGTCCTGTTGCCATCTGACTGTCCTTTCTTACAGGCCCACTAAAGACCCCCATAGCAGCTGGCCATCCATCTATGAATCTATTGCTCCGTAAGACATTTGACCTTTATGCCAATGTCCGGCCATGTGTCTCAATTGAAGGTTATAAAACTCCTTACACGGATGTAAATATTGTGACCATCCGAGAGAACACAGAAGGGGAATACAGTGGAATTGAGCATGTGGTATGTTCATCTCAGAGGCTTTTTTGATTTAGTTTGTTTATTTGAGGGGAAGGTTTTCTGTTGATGTTTTGGGAGGTGGTTTTTGTGTGTTGTGTGTGCATGCACGCGCGCATCTTGACACAGAATGTCTACATAGTTCAGGCTGTCCTAGAACTCACTTTGTAGATCAGGCTGGCCTTGAACTCACAGAGATCCACCTGCTGCTGCCTCCCTGGTGCTGGGATTAAAGGTGTGCCGCGCCCCCCACAGAGAGGTATTTATTCCCTGTGGGATTTCCTTTTTTGCATTTGAGGCAGTTGTTCAAATTCCCAGTTGAAAATATTTCTGAAAGACAAGTAAGTGTCACCTCTATGAGAAGCAGGCTTTGGTGGGTGTCTTGGTGCTGTGGGTCTCTGGCTGACTACTCAAATAAGAGGAAGAACCTGGCCTGGCATAGTTTGGGGTATAGACTTGGGAATCTGTCCCATTCTGCAGGTGTGTCTATGGCTGATAGCCATCTCTATATATCATGTTGTCACTGTCCAGCAAGGCTTGTGATGCCTGTCTGGGGGAGGAGGGCTGGAGTTAACACTGAATATGCAGCCTGCCACAGTAGGGGGGGTCTATACTCTGAAGCTGGCTGGCACCACAGTGTTGCCACATCCCTTCCAGTGAAGCAGGGCTTTCTCTCTTTCAGATCGTTGATGGAGTTGTCCAGAGCATCAAGCTCATTACGGAAGAGGCGAGCAAGCGCATTGCTGAGTTTGCCTTCGAGTACGCTAGGAACAACCACCGAAGCAACGTCACAGCTGTGCACAAAGCCAACATCATGTGAGTTGCTGAGAGGCTGGGCTGACTTGCTTTGCTGTGGGGATGGAGCTTCCAGGACTTCCTATCCAGCTTGTTCTCGAAGTCTCAGAGTTTAGAAAAGAACATTGCACCAATCAGAGTGGCATTTTCTCCTTTGGTGCCTAGCCAGGGAAATGAGAGGACACATGAAGAAGGCCCAGGAATTTAGGTCCTGGGAGTTAAGAGGAGAGAGGTATCAGAAGGAAGCTGGAGAAGATGTTAGGTTAGCAAAGGCCATGCAGTTCATGTTTCCCACGTGGGAGAGCAGGGGTGTTTCTGAAGGGCCAGGCTTAAAATAGAGCAGATCCTGTCAGAAGGTTTCTCTGGCTAGTGAGCTCTCAAACCCCGTCTATGTCTATTAATGACTCCTCGGACTGGACAAAAACATTGCTTCCCTAACCTATGAGAGGACTGAACCTGCACAATAGGAAACCATTTAACTAAGAGTTACCCTCCTAAAGCAGTTTTCATATAAGCCAGGGCATGGGTCCGTGGGTACCTATACTCCTAGCAGTTAAAGGCCCTCCTGAGCTGCATGAGACCCTGTCTTTAGGAAAAAGTCCAACCAAACAAAAACAATTTAATTATCTCTTAGTTTTTAGTGGATAATACTACAAAAATCTAGTCTTCTCTATAGTGAGTGTACTGTCTTGTTTTTACACTTTTGTGTACCAGTAAGGATCTGAAAACTTTCCAACTTCCAGTTTATTAACTGCCCAAGAAATAGTTATACTGTAATTGAAATAATATAATTTGAATTCTGGAACTTAAGTTATTTATTTATTTGTTTGTTTTGTTTCGTTTTTTGAGATGGGGTCTTACTCTATATCCCTGTCTGGCTTGGAACTCACAGATCTATGCCACCTCTGCCCTTTAGTGCTGCTATTAAAGGCATGTGCCACCACACTGGACTTTTTTTTTTCCCGTGTGTGACTGTGCTTGGGGGGGATTTGGGGGTTGGACAGCCACAGGTGTCATCCTTAGGAGCAGTGTCTACCTTCTGTGGGACAGGGTCTCTCTTTGGCCTGGAGCTCACTGCTTGGCTAGACTGGCTTCCCAGTGGGTCCTGGAGCTCCTCTTGTCTGTATCCCCAGCACTGGTGTTACAGCTTTTCTGTGGGTGCTAGGGGTTTGAACCCTGGTCTTTAAGCACTTCACTGTGACTGCCAACTTCCAGCTCCTTGGGACTTTCTCAAACTTTGATTTGATTCTTTGCTTGTTGCAAGTCTTCATTTTAAACAATTTATCTGTGTATTTCATTAAATACAGGCGGATGTCAGATGGACTTTTTCTGCAAAAATGCAGGGAAGTTGCAGAGAACTGTAAAGATATTAAGTTTAATGAGATGTACCTTGATACCGTATGTTTAAATGTAAGTATGCACTGGTGCTTACTGGTTGCTTTTCATGGTGTGTAGTATGTGTATTCGTGGTGTGCAGATTATGATTGCTAAATGCACAACTTATTCCTTGTAGATGGTACAAGACCCATCCCAATTTGATGTTCTCGTCATGCCAAATTTATATGGAGACATCCTTAGGTAAGTCTGACTATGCCCTTTTTATTTTTATGATTATGTTTTATGCTTATGTTTATGCATAAACATTCTAAAGTGAACATGGCTTTATGTTTTCAGTAATGTATTATAAGCTATTGTATCTGCTACAAAAGAACTAAATTCATTGTCATTTCAGTGTATTTTGTTACATGCACAGCCTGCTAGAATTGTGGTCATTATCGCAATGTCCCCTCTCTTCCTGCCCCTTTGTGCTGAGGTTTGTGCTGAGCTATCATGGAGCTTCACCCCCAGCCAGTCACCTGACATAACCTCAGACTGACAGAAAGAAGTCTTACAATAATGGTACAAGGAAGCCCCCTGTACTGAGTACCTAAGTCCTCAAATGTTGGCATCTTGCAAGCTCTTGCTGAGCATTTGTTCCCTCTTTGGGTTCCTCCCTCCTCCCCTATGGGATGTTGGGACATGTTGACTCTCAAAGCCTATTCTTCTACATTTCGTCCATGGTATTCTGTTGAGAAGCTTTTCCTTCTCAGAGTCTTCGTGTAGGCTTTTAACTCAAGAGCTTTGTACATAATCAGGAAATTATGCTGTGTTTTAAATTTTAATTTGTTGTAAATTTTGAGGCGGGGTCTACATCATCTTTTATTCGTTGGTGAGTTCTTCACTGTCTCAGGTTGTCTTGACCGGGCTCAGTGTCTCCTGTCCATGGCTTCTGCGTCCTGGGCTGGGCCTTTGAGCCTTGCCTTACTCTGGTACAGTGAGCTGATGCAGGCTTCTGTGCATTTCTGACCCTGAGGCCTGGAGTGAGTCCCTTCTCCGAGGAACTCTGCTTTCCTCTAATGGAACATCACAGTAAACACTAGAATCTGAGTGCTAGGTGAAGTGCTTTCCTTATCACAGTGTCCTTTCCTGTCCTCAGTGATCTGTGTGCAGGTCTGATCGGAGGTCTTGGTGTGACTCCAAGTGGAAATATTGGAGCCAACGGTGTTGCCATCTTTGAGTCGGTAAGGACCCTGATAACCTACACAGAATTGATGTCTGATTGTTAGCCCAGGTTGGCATCAGACTCATGATCCTCCTGCCTCTACCCCTGGAGTTGAGATTTTAAGTGTGTGCCATCACACCTAGCTTTCAGGTTTTCAAGATTCCCTCAGGCCACCACTTCTGTCAGTCTGGCTTGTCTCTCTAGGATCCTGATTCCTATAGTTCATGATCAACTAGAACCTTCACCCACTTGATCCTGCCCCTTGTTCACATTGTGTACTCCCTAGTTCTCTCCTTTTCCCCCTTGTTGTGTATCTCTTTCTCTCCTTTGCCAGTTTATATCCTGCTCTGGGAAGCCCTTGGCTTCACAGAGCACTTGGCCGGTAGCTGCCAGAGCAGCGCTCAGCCCTGTCGTTGGGTTCCCTGTAGTCTATACACAGGCTCTTAACTGCAGTTTTGCACATTGTCTGGGAAATTTGACTTTGTTTTTATTTTTGTTTTAATTTTTGTGATGGGGTCTCAAAATATGCCTGGCATAGAATTTACTATGTAGACCAGGCAGCTTCAAATTCAGAGATCCACCTGCCTCAATTTCCCTGAGTGCTGCTGACATTAAAGTCATGTGTCACCATGTCCAGCTTTTATCTATCTGTCCATCTATAAATTATTTATCTGTTCGTTGTTGTTGTATCTGTGTGAGGGTTGTGAGGGTGTCTGATCCCATGGGACTGGAGTTACAGACAGTTGTGACCTGCCATGTGGGTGCTGGGAATTGAACCATGGACCTCTGGAAGAGCAGCCAGTGTTCTTAACCACTGACGAATCTTTCCAATCCCACAGCTTTTATTTTTTATATAACACTGATTTGTTTATTTTTCACCAGACATTTCTTCTTATTTATATGTTTTGAGGAGTTTTGTTATTCATCTCACACTGGCCTCAAACTGGAGATCCTCCTGCCTTGTGTCTGGTCATATGCTTTTTATGTGCCCTCCTTCATTCTAAAATGTTTTACCAAAATTTGCTGGAAATAATTGACCCATAGTTTTTGTGTGTATGTGACAGACAGACAGACAGACAGACAGACAGACAGACAGACACACACACACACACACACACACACACACAGTGGGCATGTTGGTTCTTATTTCTAGCATTGAGACAGGATCTCTTGTTTCTCTGCTGCAAATTCCAGGCTTGCTAGCTCCCTGGGATTCCACCCCCAGTCTCACCATTGGAGCATTGGGATTACGGATGCTCCTGCTACATGTTGAGCTCTTTTTGTGGGTTTAAGAATTGTAAATTTATGCAGCATGAGCTTTTCCTCACCCAGCCATCTCCCTGGGGGTGGGAGGGTTTGTTTTTGCACTCAAGAATTAGCCATTCATTTCTTCACAGCCTTATTTCTAAGATCTGTGTCAGTGAACTGCACACAGCAACTTTGTGTACACACACACACACTTTCCCTCCAAAGAAAGAGGATGAAAACTTCAGCTTCTCCTGCAGTGTCTTTTCATTTTTGTTGGTGTTGGGGATTGAGCCAAAAACTTGGCGCATGCTAAGACTAGGATGGGCTTCCTGTTCCTATCTCCCTCCTGCTGATACTGTCTTCTTATACCATCATAGGTTCATGGAACAGCCCCAGACATTGCTGGCAAGGACATGGCCAATCCCACCGCCCTCCTGCTCAGTGCTGTGATGATGCTGCGTCACATGGGACTTTTTGACCATGCAGCCAAAATCGAGTCTGCATGTTTTGCTACAATTAAGGATGGAAAGGTATCTATAACCTAGACCACTGTACACTGGGTGAATTGTGAATTGTGTTTCCTCTGTGGGAAGGAAACAGCCCTGAATGATTTGATGTTAAACAGGGGTTCTGAATGTGGACTCCCTGACTGAACTTAAGGAAGGCATATGCACATAGATATATTTTTCTTGGGGAAGATCCAAGTATATCCTGTGAAAGGGTTAAGAAGCACTGATGGCAGTAGTATGCAGCAGAAAGAGCATGGAAGCCAGAGAAAGGCACAGGCCACCCTCGCGACTGGTATTAGTATGCTTAACCTAGTGCCTCAAAGCTGGCCCCATTACTTCTTATGGCCAAGACAGAAGGATTGCAAACAGCCTGACATCACTTTAGCAGGCACATGATCTTGCTATTTATACCTAACTTGTGTTTGGGAAGTAATAGTCTAGAGCTGAGCAGAAAGATGCCTGGCTTACACAGGCTTTCTTAGTTCTGCAGCATGAGCTTCAGGAGGGAATTCAACACCCTGACACCTGTTTGAAGTGAAGAGGAAATGAGCTGGTAGAAAACAGATTGGCCATACTAGAAACTTCTCCTAAAAAGGAAAGTTAAGGAGGTAGCTGTGTAAATGTTTTTTTTTTTTTTTTCATTCTATTTGCCTCCAAATACCAAAATAGATCAGACCATGTCTTATAAATTATTTTTTGAGCTTTAAAATTTCCCCTCAGCCTTTATGCTCAGATTTTCTTTCATTTAACTATCCATAACCAACCAGTATTTTCTCAGCCAATAGTTTGAACAAAGGGTAAATTCTGAAAAACTTCCCTTCTCCTTAGAAAGGCCTTATCCTTGAGAGGTGTCTGTTAGGTGTCAGGCAGTCTGTATATCCAGATATGAGCTCAGGCTGGACTGTAGAAGGACTTTTGGTGGTCAGATAAAAACCAGTACTCCTCGGGAACTTGTAAAACTTCAGGCAGGCAGGAAGGGCATACAGCTTTTAATTGGCATGCTCATATGTAACATGGTTACGTATCAAAGTCCATGCTGTACAGTACAAAGCCCTCACACTAGCATCCTGGCCCTTCTCTCCTTCCCTCCTCCTGCCTCCACCACCCATTGTGCTGCTCCCTGTTCCCTGTCTCTTGCTATCTCCGCTATTCTCTCCTGCTCTCTTACCTCTTTAAAGATAGCCCTGGTCATGCCCAGTATGTTTCCTTTTCTCTGTTCTGGATCTTCCAGGTGCCTCTGAATTCATCCATCCTTCCTTCCTCCTTCCCTCCCTTCCTTCCTCCCTTCCTTCTTTTCTTCCTTTGTTTGTTTGTTTTTTGCAAGGCAGGGTTTCTCTGTAGCCTTAGAGCCTGTCCTGGAACTAGCTCTGTAGACCAGACTGACCCCTAACTCATAGAGATCCTCCTGCCTCTGTCTCCTGAGTGCTGGGATTAAAGGTGTATGCCATCACCGCCCAACACTTTCTATTATTCACAGTAGAACATTGCTCTTAATGGAGCAGCCATTTCCGTGGTTTCTTTACTGCACCTCCTCACATACAGTGTTGTTTTGTTTTGAGTTGGGTGTCTTGCTACCAACTCCTGGGTGACCTGGAACTCGATGTATAGACCAGGCTGGCTTTGAACTTGGAAGAATCTTCTTGCCTCAACCTCTTAGTGCTGCAATTGTAGCAGTGCACCATCATGCCTGACTTGGGAATGTTTGGGGTTACACACCTCATGGGGTTTCCCCGGAACTCCTATGGTAGGTAGATGGTATGTAATGGGATCTCCCTTTAAGATCAGTAGGCAGGTACCTTGCTCAGTTCCTATTTCACTGAGTGCTTTAAGTAAAAATATTCTTGCCTTAATTTAGTGTGGTGGTAGATGTTTATTTTTCCTTTTTCCTTTTCTCAGAGCTTAACAAAAGATCTGGGAGGCAATGCAAAGTGCTCTGACTTTACAGAAGAAATCTGCCGCCGAGTAAAGGACATGGATTAGAACTTCTGCAGGTGTATTTGCTGCTGTCAGTCACTCCAGGATACCCTGCAATCCTCCTTGAGAGTGCCCGCCATTGGTTTGCTTGCTTCTTGACAGTACATTTTAAAATCTGGCCTTTTCTTAACAAAACCCTTGCAACATATGTACATGATGGCCCTAGGTCATCATTCAGAGGGTTTTCCCAAGTGCTTGTTGTATTTATTGACTATCTGGTAAACCACCTTTTGTAAACTGTAAGTGAAGTGTTTCATTTACCATTGTTACCCATTTTACACTTCAGGCAAAATAGTTTTTCCTCAACTGTAAATATTATACAGAATTAATAAGAGAAAATATTTAACTTTTTAACACAAGCCCTGTTTTTTCCTTTGGTTTATGAAAAACATACTGAGGCTAAAACAGGGTTTTAACAATCGCACAAGATAACATTACTCTAAGGCTAAATGGGCACAAAAGAAATTTCTTGGGAAAGTTCACAGCAAAAAGTGGTATATTTCTTAGCAATATGGAAAATAAAGATATTTGTCCTGTACGTGAATTACTATTAATAAAAATGTAAGCTCTAAGAAATATATAATGAATGATGTAATTTTGTTAATAACGTATAGGTATATTTGAGTCAAAGCCCCAGATGCCCTGTGTATGCAATTATTTTGTTACCTGGAAACTTACTATTTTGGGGGGGAGAACTCTTAATTGAGGGCAGTCATTCCTTCCTCTTCATTAGACATGCTGTGAGTGAGCATCATGAGCTGTCTGAACTCCTGGACTGACCTCTCAGCTGGGCAGCCACTGTAGATCCACCCCCCAGCGAGACCCTAGAAAGGGCCACACTCCAGTCGCTGCTGCAGCTGATACTGGAAAAGGCCTGGCCACCTGGCTTGGCTGTAGTCAAGAATCCGGGGATGCTGGCTATTGATTTATATGCCCCTTCACTTCCCCCTAGAGCACCCACAAAAGACCCCACTCTAGAAGGCGAAACTGACTTAGCCCAAACTGAGGCCAATGTTACCTGCTCTGACCGTCAGTTTCCTGTCCCCATGACTCCCCATAGCCTCTGCCCTGCAGCATGAAGCTACCTACCCTCTGGCCCACAGCAAAGTCAAGCTGTCTTCCCTCAGCCCTTGTGCTAGTTTGCAAACCCATGGCTTTGCATAATGTACCTGGGTCACAAGGGGATTTCCTAACAACAGATATCCCCATCTGGGTCATTTTTAAAGCTTTTATTCAGATTTATCATCTGTATTTTACTTTCAACTACTGCTTCCTCTGTCTTACTGGATTGTAGTTGCCAGTGGCTTTGGGTTCATAGTAATAAAGAATTTAAAAACTCACTGAGATGTTTGCGTTCTCTGCCTCTTTCCTGGTCAAGTGCCTTAGGGTATTTTGGCTTAGCTTTAACTAGACTTGGCTGCTTTAACTAGAATGTTCTGCTTGACCCCATCATGCACCTTTGTTTATTGTAGGCCCCTAATGATGTACAAATGGTTACACTTCTGTGGGTTAGCTGTTCATGTTCTGTCCCACCCACCCAATCAAAAAAAAAAAAAATCAGGTACTTGTTGCAGGTCTATTAAAAGGTTTAATATTCAAAATTACATATTAAATACAGTCATATAGGCAGCAACAGTTTATTAAGCATCAAGCCTATTGCATGTAAGGTGGAGGAGTATCTGGTAACTAGTGTCCAAGAATGCCAGTTAAGTCAGGCTGTTATGTCAACTGTGACTGCTGTCTCTGCAGCACACATTAGTGATGGGACTGTCAACCTCTTCCCTCACCTCCAACAACCAGCCCTGGTAGACAAGTTCAGTGAACTAGAACCTTGTAAGTCTGCCTGGAGCAATCTTCTCTGTTGGAAGGAGAATGATCTCGTTTGACACCTGAACAGGAGCAGTGGTTAAGGTACTGGAGATGTCAGTGCTATGACCTGAACTAGGGGGTAAAACCAGCTTGTCACAAGTTCCTGTGCCCAGGAGGAGACACATGGAGCTCAAGAAGGTGTTTGACAAGCCGTCTTCCCTCCAGCAGATGCTACAAGCATGGCCCCAGACTACTGTTTTTGCTCTTCATAAAAGGCATCTATGATATCTTTATACTTCTCCAGAACAGTGAGCCGTTTCAGTTTCATGGTGGGGCCTAAAAGAAAAGTGGGAATAAATGAGTGAAGCCGAGGTTTGGTGTCTTGTGAAGGTATGGCGGTTTGGATGGAAGTGGTCTCTAAAGGCTCATGTGTTTTAGGACTTGGTTCCCAGCTGGTGGAGCTGTTTGGGAAGGATTAGGAGATACAGCCTTGGAAGAGGTGTGTCACTGCGAGTGAGCTCGAGGTCTCAAAAGACTTGTGCCATTACAAGTTAACTCCCAGCTGTTCTCGTATTATCCCTTGAGCCTCCCTGTGTCACTGCCAACTAGGGTTGGTTGGCAGCCAGTAAGACACAGGAGGTGATAAGAGTGTCACTTCCAGGAGCAGAAGGTTTTCAAGACAGGGTTTCTCTGTCACAGACCATAGTGGTCTCACTGCAGCCCCGATGGGTGCACTCCAGTGCAATAGAAGAGTCTCATGGCTGAGGCAATGCTAAACATTTCATGTTCACATTGATAAGCTCTGGCACACGTGTAACACACTCATCCCTGTGTTCACAGGTCTCAGGAGCTCCCTACCCAACACCAGAGTCCAGTGTTCTGGACCCATACGTGAAATGACACGTATTTGCACATGACCAACATGTCTTTGTTTCTAAGTCATCAGTAGATGACTTTCAGTACCTAAGACACTATAAATATTTTGTGAGGAGTTGCACTCTATTATTTAAGGGATAATTGAAAAAAAAACCTGCATATGTTCAGGACAGATACAATTTTTCCTCTGGACATTTCTAATTTAAGGTGGCGCATTTGATGGGTTTGGAAGTGACTGTTTTTCAGGCCCATGGCAGTGGCAGGAACAGCCTATGAGGAAGCCGTGCCAGCAGGAGGTATCAGGGCTTTGGACAGATGCTGCCACTGCCATGGGCTTTACCCTCCCATACGACCCCAGGAATGGTGAGCACAAAACCTTACCCAGTTCTCCACCTGAAATGGAGAAGTCTCGTTTGAGAATGGCCCACTTCTGGATGTGGTAGGGCCGGGCAGCTGCATTTGCATTCACCCTCTGGATCCCTTCCTGGATGGCCTGATACACGGCCTCATCTCTTGGCTCCACAATCTCAGATACAGTGCTGGCCCTGCTGCCCACCCTCTGGCAGAACTCCACAGCTTGCTCAGTCAGGTTGTCTGTTGGCTCAGACGTCTCTGGGTCCAGCGTGCACTGCAAAGAGGACAGATGAACTTCCATCCCTGCTCCACAGAACCAAGCTCTGGTTTGGGAGGATGTTGCAGACAGACAAGGTGGAAATTCCCGTGTGCTCAGTTTTAGAGTGATGCTTCTAGGATGTGCTAAGCCCACAGAAGTGGTAGAAGGAACAGTGGGCTGAGGGTGACATCAGCACATATTCAACAGGGACCAGACTCCTGCCTGGCTGTGCTGCTGGGGCCCTGAGCAGGGGGTGGGCAGCCAGACCTTTGCAAACTAGAACAGACTGGCAAGTGGAAGGATCCTCTCTCAGCAGCCCAACAGGGCAGAAGAGCTTCTACCCACCCACCTCCATTCCGCCCAGCCCCCCCCCCCCCAGTGCACAGTACTGGCTCAGTGGTGCCAGGATACAACTGTGAATGCCTTGTGTGCCGTGGGCCTCACTGCAGACCACCATCGTGCTACCTCTCCAGAGCCAGAGCCCTTGGCGTACCTTCAGGGTTAGCAGCATGGACAGGAACTTCCTTTGGTCCCCGATCAGCATGGCACTACTGATGATAGGCAGCTCTGTCTTTACAGCCTCCTCGATAGGCACTGGGGGCACATTCTCCCCACCTGCGGTGATGATCAATTCTGTGGAGGCAAGTCAGGTCCAGGCTGAACCACACTCCTAGGCCACAGTTGGAGAGGCCTAAGCAGCAAGCGTAGTGCTGGAGATGCCCTTGTGGGAGCCAAGAAGCAGGGCCTGCCTCCAGCAGCCCTGGAGAACAACTGCTTACATGTCTCCCATTCCTCAGCCTGTTCTCCGAGTTCTCTGCTCAGCCACCTCATCCCCTGGGGCTCATTAGCCTCATACTTTGCCCCTGCTTAGCCAGCAACATTTCCCCTCCCTGCCTTTGCTTGCAAACTGGCTGTTAATTACACGGCATCCATCAGACCCAGGTGTTGCACAGGCCGGAGCTTTACCCTCAGCTGTTTGATCAGTTCCCACAGTCGGCCTCTAATGAAGTGCTCTCTCATTACCATCTGCACAGAGGAACCCGGGGCCACTGCCTCATGGTGCCGAGTAACCAACCTACGCTTTACACCCAGTTCAGTTCCGAGACCCATTGCTTAGCATCCTCGCTCCCCTGCAATGGGGCCCCTCACTGCTACAAGCTATTCCCTCCTGATAGACCTGTCCTTCCCACATGGCCAGACCCCCCACCCCCCATTCTGACCTCTCCCTTCTCTGAGCTGTCCTCATGCTTCTCTTCCTACCCAGGGCACATGTTTCATTGATTATTTCTTGTGCCTCTGTGGGAAAGGCCACGGCCACTGCACAGCACTCAGGGGTTCAGCCCTCTCTTCTGAGTGATGATAGATTTCCAGGCTAGATAGCTGTAAACCCAATAGAACCAAACACTGAAAAGCTTCCCAGTGACCCAGTGCTGGCTGTGAGAGCAGCCACAAAGTCTAACTGCCAGAGGAAGAGCCCTCTCCCAGGACAAGAGTCCAACAGGTTTTCTTTCCTTAAAGACCTACACTTCCTGCATTTCCAGAAACTGGAGCAGCATGCTGTAGGCAAGGCTGAGAGGAGCTCTTTCCCCCTAGGTCCAGCCAAAATATAAACAAACCCATTGACTTTTAGAAAAAAAAAATAAGATAAAATTATATAATAAAATAAATGCATTGAATACACTCTGACTGGTTTGTGAGATTGTCTCCTGCCCTCCTATATTGTCTAATTCATAAATGGTCACCGGCCACACTCTGTGAACATTAGGCATAGAACAGAACAGTGCCTGACTGTGAGGAGCTCCCGGTCAGTGGGGCTGACAGGAATGCTGGAGTTATAGGGGACAGGAAGCATTCAGCCCCACCGATGAAAAGCGTGAAGAGAGGTTTGACAGGCAGAGCCCACAGAAGCACAGCCTTTGGGGGTGGAGGTGGTGGATGAAGAGGGCTCAGGACCAATCGTCACAAGACCTCTCTGTAGACAGAAAGCACCGAGTGTTTTGGATCAATGTTCTAGAATATTCCAGTGATTGGGCCAGTGATTGAGGGGGTGAGCTGGCCAGAAAGGAATCCACATGAGTTCAAATGACCAGGGTTTGCTGCTGCAGCAGAAGGCAGAGGAAAACAGAAACTCTGGAAACATGAAGACAGCTCTAGCCTTGCTCATATGCTCACATCTACCCTCGTGAGCTTCACTCCTGCTTTTCTGTCACTCCCGCCCTCCCCACCCCTACCAGCATCTTCAGTAAGTGACTAAAACCCTTTAGAAAACTAATATGGAATGGAATTTTCTAAATCTAATGAAGCATATCTTCAACAAATCTATGGCAAACAAACTTAGCAATAAACTATAGAGGATAGGCCCTTTGATAGGTACTGCAAGCCTGATGGCCCACGTTCGATTCCCCTGAGCCCATGGAAAGCCAGGTGTGGTAGTATACATTTGTAATACCAATGCTCCTACAGTAAGGCGGGTGGTGCAGATAAGAGAATTACCCAGAAGCTCACGGGTAGCTAGCCTAGAGTATGCAGTGAAGGAAGAGTCAGAGAGGTCCCACTTCAATAAGGCAGAAGGCAAAACTGAGTCCTGAAAGTTGTCCTGAGACCTCCACACATGAGTCATGGCAGGTGTGCACAGGTGTGCATGTTAAAATGTAGAAATGGTTCTTAAATTCAGAAGATAACCTTCTGAAGATCAGGAACAAAACAAGAGTTGCCTCCATCGCACATTGTGTTTCTTCTGTTCTTTCGATTGATGCTCAGGGCCAAACCCCGCTCAACTATTGCCATTTCTGTTTGGCACTGTGAAAGAGTAAGTTTTCCTAACCTGAGTGAGAGGGCATAAATAATAACAGTAACAATGACGATGAATTAAAAGGAAAGAATGGAATTGTTATTATGTACCGATGACGTAATTTTGTCCATAGGAAATTCAAAAGGATACACATGCTAGAATTAGCAAGGGGACGGGGGGGGGGGGCAGCTCGGTGGTACAGTACTTTCCTGCTGTAGACAATGTCCTGGTTTCATTCCACAGAACTCC